ACATTTTTTGATCATTAATAAGTTAACTTAGTCGATTAATTAATTAAATTATTTGATTTTTTAATCAATAAAAAAGATTATAATGACAGTAATAAAGTTTGAATTTAATATTTTGTACATAACTACTATTTTAGTCTTTGTAATGTATAGGCTTAATATTTATTATATAATTAAAATTTATAATAATTTATATATATAAATAATACTATGTTTGAATATATAAATTATACTTAAAATTTATTACTTTTAAAAATATATAAATTATATTTGCAATTTAGAATATTATAATTATTTTAAGTTATTTTTATGTTGTTAAATTAGATCGTTGTTTAGTGTTGAAAGACTTTAGGATTTAAAGATTCCTTAAGATTTTTAGTGATGTTGGAGTTTTTTTTTGTATAAGCATAATTCTAATATTGCGTCAAGTGCATATTCGTGGCGCTAGGCATAGTTTTAACTTGAGGTTCTTTATCTCAATCACATCTAGCATAAGATTGGTGGCGCTGAACATGAGGAGAGAGGCTCGTCTTAGGTTGACATGGCGTCAGGAACAATTAGAATGACATTAAGTGTGGAAGCATTAAGAGGTATTTGGCTTGGTGATGTCGGACCAAAGGTGAAGTGTCGCCTAGTGTGGCCAAGCTATAACTCTCTGTCTAGATGACGTTGGGCTAATATGGTGACATCGGGTGTGAGTCAACTCCTTGCCTAAGATGCGATTGGTACCTTACCATGCCAGACACAAAGTCTTAGGGACCTCTACCTTATTTACCTCAACCACGGGTTGTGAAATGATGGGTGTGGACAAGACAGAGAGTTCCCTACCTCGATGACACTGGATGCGGAGTGTATTAAGTTGGACATTATTTGTGGAATGATAATATGTTAATTTATTTGATGAGTTGTTTAATACTTGATGATTGAGTTGTTTGATGACTAAGTAGGGATGATGTTTTATATGATGATGTTTTGAGATGAATGATGACTGATAAATTAAGATGTACGTCGTGAGTTGTAGAATTGTGTATTGGTTGTGTAGCTATAATGGTATTGTACGTTGTTGATTATGAGTTGTAGAGTTGTGTATTTAAACTATTGATGATGTTTATTGTTTTGCAAATAAACATCATCAACTTTAATTTCATTCTAATTTATTCTGACATTTGATAATTTATTGTTTTTATGAAGTTTTTATATTATTAATTTAAAGTTAAATTATTTATCTTAAATATCAATCATTCATCGATGTTTTTCTTTTTATGTTAAAATTATTTGTTTTTCAAAACACAATAAAAATAAGAGTTTAGAAAAAAATGAAAAACAATAAATAAAAAGTCTTTATTTGATTTTTTCTTCTTCTAAATTATATGGTATTTTTGATATATATGTAAATAAAGCTAATGTATATGCACCAAAAAAATGAAATAACTAAGTGTGATTTAAAATAAATAAATGATTGATATTTTTTTATCTTAATAATTTAATCTCAATGTAATATAACAGACTTACAAAAAGAATAATTAAGATAAAATTACAATTAAGGTGTTTATTTGTAAAGTTTAAGGATAAATTATAATAAAATTAAATTTTTATAATATCTATTTGCTAACAAGAAAAAATTTAAGGATCAATTGGAATAGACTTAAAATTTGGGATATCTATTTGTAAAGGGAGTGGAATTTAAGAGGATTAAATACTTTTTCTTTTTTTTTTTTAATTTTTTCATCAGTTGCGTAACAAAAAGAAAACACTATAATAAGAAAAGTCTTTATAGAATTAAAATGAATAAATATGATGTTTTTTTTTTTTACTATAGTAACATGAAAGAAAGGCTTAATTTGTCTTTAAAGTGTCAAAGTTCTCCCCCCTCCAAGTATTAATCACAAAGTTATTTAAGAATAAATATATTTTTACTTTTTACTTGATTGGATGAACCACAATTTTAAGCAACTTTTTCACTCCAAAGGAGCATATCAAGATTAATTTTAAATATTATTGTCCCTTAGAAACCACATATCCAAATTAATTGTAATGTAATTCTTTTAATATTTTTAGTATTTTGTTTTACTATTACATTACATTTAAATATTGTATTATTATGTGTTTCATATTTTTTAATATTTATCAGAAACTAAATTGCTTTTTTTCCTTTTATTTTTAGTTGATCCATAATTTTAATTTTTTATTTTAAAATAAATAAATTTAGTCTCCTTATTTTTAAAAATATGAAGTTTCAATATTACTGTTAATTTGATGTTATTTGATCGTTAAATTTTAAGGTTATTTGATGATCTGTCACCATTTAGGTAATGTATCATATATGAATAAAAATTAAAGAATAACAAATAAAAGATTTTTATTTATATTTATTTTTATAAATTATTGGTATTTATTTATTAATAAACAAATTTATTTTTATACTTTTTTATTTTTAAATATCATATTAATAAATGTCACATCACTTAAACATGAGTAAATGTTAGAACTTAACAATTAGGGGATGTCAATTTGACAAGAGGACTAAAATTCCATATTTTTAAAGTTAGAGGAATTAAATATCTTTATTTTAAAATAAAGGAACCAAAATTTCAAGTTGATGAAAATAGAGAGACTAAAATGCAATTTAACTTTTATTAAAATGATATTAGAGTGTTTATACCATAAAAAAATATAAAACAATTTGTGTTAATATTTTCCTAAAATGAAAAATTATATATTACTATTACTTGTATAAGTTTCTTTTTTCCAATTATTTAACACTTTACAAATTTTATTGACATATAAAATTAATTTTTCATTGATTTTGACCAAAAATTTGTTGGTCTGCATGCTATTGTAAATTAATAATAAAAATTATATACTACTATTTATTATTTTTTTACATATATTTTATTCAAATTTAGTCTCATAGTTAATAAAGGTTTAAATACATTTTTATTCTTTTAATATTACAGTTATACGATTTTAGTCTTTCAAATTTTAATTAAATAATTTTAGTTTTTTAACTATTGTAGTTATACAATTTTGATCCTTAAATTTTAATTCAACAATTTTAGTTTTACAAGTACCATAATTATGTAATTTTAGTCATTAAAGTATTGTAAATATACAATATTTTTTTAATCTATTTAAGTTACATTTATTATTAATTTTAGTGGTAATAAATATATATTATATAATGATGATTTAAAAGTGATAATATATGAAACTTAAATAGGTAAAAAATTATATAATTACAATATTCAAGAGATTATAATTATACAATTTTAATACTTGAAAGATTAAAATTACTTAATTAAATTAGAAAACTATTGTCATATAATTGTAATACTTGAAAGACTAAAATTACACAATTAAAATATTTAATGAATAAAAAATATAACTAAGCTAATTATAAATAAATACAATCATTAATATGTATATTTATTCTTTGTCCTCCTAATGAAGTTAGTTGGATAACATATAAAGGGTAATTATATAATTTAATTGATAATATTGATTTGTTTTTTCTAAATTTAATATAAACCAATTGAAAAAATTCTTCCTATCATTTCTCTTCTACTTACTTCTTACCAAATAACTTCAATATCTACTATATTTCTTACTCACTTTCATTTTCTTCTCATTATTAATTTCATTGCCAAACATGACATAAACTTACTCTTGTGGTTCATTGTTTGATTTGATTTATTATTTTTCGTATTAATTATTTATGAAAATTATTAATAAGTTTAGTTATTCATTTTTCCCATAACAAATAGTAAATTAATATAATTATATTAAATATTGACATATTTTATTTAATCAATTAATGAATTTTTAACCTAAATTAATATCCTTAAAAACCTACATTAATTAATTATTTGTGTTTAAAAAACTCAAATGAATTACTATCCTTTTTTAAAAAAAGATATTAAATTAATTAATATCCTTAAAAACCCTTAATCAATTAATTAAATCATAAATGCAACAAAAAATTACAAATTTTATATTAAAAAATTTTTGGCACCAAATTTTATAAAACTAAGAGACTAAAATTGCTGAAAAGATCAAATTCATTAATTAAATATTAATCTTAAATATCTCGTTGGTTGCTAAATATATGTATTTTTTTTTCTTTTGATTTGTAAAATTGTTTGCTTAACTTTTATTATTGTAAACTTTTTTCGTTGCTTTTAAGTTTATGATGTGACTTTTTTTCACTGTTTTAAATGACGTGTCAAATAGTTAAATATTATTTCTAATAATTTAAACCATGTGATATGTGACACATCTACCAAAATAGAAAATAAAAGTTATGACAGAAACTATATATATATATATATATATATATATATATTTATATTCGTTACTTATAAATACCTCTTAATATTGCCCTTTTACTTGGAGAATAGTCTATTTAATTTAAAATTTATGAAATGTTAGTAGTTGTAATAGTTTAATATACGATATTTTGGATTTAAAATGTTGTTGTTATTATGTTTCAATTTTTGTTATTAAACATGTAATGGTTCATTTATATTTAGTGATTTAGTGTTTTAACTTGTGTCCAATACTGATGCATTTACTCTAATAAATATTTTTGTATTTTAGTTCATTATTGTACATGTACTGCATTATATATATATATATATATATATATATATATATTATTGTTAATTTTATTTAACCCAAAATGTATGGTTTAACTGTAGGGGTTGATCCACGTTTAAGTAAGGTCAGGGGTTCGAATCCTATCGGCCCTGAATATTCCAGGGACGAATAAAAAAAAAGGTTGTTAATTTTATTTCTTATATATTTATTTATAATTAATATTAAATATGATAATGACTTAAAATAAATTATATATTTAAGATAAAATTTAAATTTATGAAAAAATTAATTTAAAATAATGATATTAATCACCTTTTTTGTTGTTCATCATTTATCTGTTACTTATAATTAGAACAACAATGGTTAAAAAAAAAGCTTATAATAAAGGGAAAAAGGAGAGTAATGTCATTTTAAGAATTGTTGTCGTGATCTTCTTCATCATCCACCAGAGAATATTCAAACACACCGCACCAGACACCACTCCTCTCCTCTGCTGCTTTCTCCACCAAACTCACTTTCTCTCACTCTCAATCCAATGGCCGCATGTGGCTGCATATCTGTCTCCAACTTCAATTGCCTCCTTGGCGCCAGAAAACTATCCAAATTCGCTTCTTCAGATGCCACACTTTCCCTATCATTCGCTGCGAGCGACTCCATGGGTCTTACTCTGCGACCCACTTCAACTCTTTCTCCTAAGAGAAACTTTTTCTCTCCCTTGCGCGTCGTTTGCGCCGATTATCCTCGCCCGGAGCTCGAAAACACCGCCAATTTCATCGAAGCTGCTTACTTATCTTCCACGTTTCGTGCTTCTCCGCGGCCACAGAAACCCTTGAAGGTCGTTATTGCCGGTGCAGGTAATTAACGAACTATGTCTGTACTCTATACCCATTTCGTTTTATGCTCCAAAATTGTGTCTTTGCTACTAAATTTTGTGTTTTTATTGCTTTAGTCGTTCTGGGTGGTTTCAGATTAGTACCTTTCATCAACAAGTTGTTGGTCCGACAAGTCCTAACAATAACATGGTTATAAAAAATGAATACTTCGTGCTAATAAATTAAAAAAAAAAAATAGGACCCGTTAGGATTTTCTAGTGCATCATCTTTTTAGAATTTCTTTTCTCCTTTTTCTTCTAGCTTGATGTTTGTTTGAAAGTTGTTGGGCTTTGGAACTTAGAAGCCTGATTCCTTGGGCTAGGCATTGGGAGTTCCTTTCTTTTCGATGAAATTGAAGTATATACTTTTGATTACATCGTGAGTCTTTGACAGTTTGGTGTCAATAACGATAAAAATAATGGGATTTTACCATCTTCAATTTTTTAGTGAAATTTCTGATTAAGGTTACCCTGATATCATGTTGGATATTTAAAACAAAAGCGTTTGTGAGCTAATCTTTGAATTTTTGATCTGTGTCTCTTGGATTGATGTATGTTTCGAATTATCTCAGGATTGGCTGGTTTATCAACTGCAAAGTATTTGGCTGATGCTGGGCATACGCCTATATTGCTGGAAGCAAGAGACGTTCTAGGTGGAAAGGTTTTCCTGCTAATTTAATCCCATTTGTCAATAAGTTGTCACTTTGCAAATTCTGTTCATCGTTTTAGCCTGCTGTTTAATTAAATAAGTAGTTTGTTCTCGTGTTGTTATATCATAATCTAATGGATATATTGGCTTTATATGATCTATAATTTGAATTCTTGTCTTCTGAGTCAATTTTACTCGACTTTGGAATGGTCATTTTGAAGTTTATCACCAGGCTTGTTGGAGATTACCACAGTACATTCAACTTATTTATTATAATTTATAAATTGATTTGAATCCATTGTGTTTTTATGCTATTATTTCATTTTCTAAGGTTGCTGCTTGGAAAGACAAGGATGGAGACTGGTATGAGACTGGCCTGCACATCTTCTGTAAGTTCATTAAAATCTCAGGCTTAACTTTTTTTATGTCATACATTTATTGAACCTATTTCCGATAAAGAGGATTTAAAGCTAGATGATCAGGAATCTTCCTAGAGCTACTAAAGAAACTATTGAGATTTGATCCAGATTTCCATCTCAAATTTAATCCAGATTTCCATATGAGATTTGTTCCTGATTTCCATTTGATCTCTATCATTATTATTTCATATTTCTGTTTTTATTATTCTTGTTAAGTTACCATTTTATTGTATTTAATGTCTGATTGTATAATCCTATAATCAATCATTAAGTCTGATATTCAAGTGAAACCACTCAGTAAAGGAAGTAATAAACAAAGGTCATAACCATGCTTTGGTCTTCTCCTAATAGCTTAAGCTATTGATAGAGTTGGTCCTCAACACTTGGTCACAGCCTTTCGCTTCGTGATCAAGTGGTTGGAATTTTAATCCTTGTTGCCCCACTCTTTTGATTAACAATTAAATTTCAGCAAACAGGTTTGGGTTAACTTATGCTCTGTCCAAGCTTCAAGCTCAAATCAATGGGCCTTTGAATGAGCGGGCTTTTTGGCCTCTTAACATTGCTTTTGGATGAGCTAGCGCTTGGCACACATATTGAACTATTTTGATATATCTTTTTAGTTTTTCTTTCTAACTGAATCATTTACTTGCATTAAAATTTCCCCCCTCCCTACAGTTGGGGCTTACCCTAATGTGCAGAACCTATTTGGTGAACTTGGCATTAATGATCGGTTACAATGGAAGGAGCATTCCATGATTTTTGCTATGCCAAATAAGCCTGGAGAGTTTAGTCGATTTGATTTTCCTGATGCCTTTCCCGCCCCATTAAATGGTAAGATGCAAGACTTAATGTATGTGTGCATATTTAAATACCTACCTGAAGTTTGATGTCTCTGTAAAAAGCACGTTGAATGCCTTCTGTCTTTAGAAAACCTACAGTTTGGAATTTGCATCTGTGTGCTGCAGAATGTGTAATACTAACTAGCTATTCTCCTGCCTGTGTTATGGGTAGTGCCTTGAAGTTGAAAACCAGAATTCTGATTAAAAGGATGTTTAGTTTCGTTGAAAGTTCAAACGCAATACTCCAGTCAAATTTTGATTTTGAATATATCTTAATGCATTTGATAATCGTTGGAACAAGTTATGTTAAATCAGTTCCAGTATAGAACAAGCTAAACACAATATGCCAGTCAAATTTTGATTTTGATTACATCTTAATGCATTTGATAATCATTGAAACAAGATGTGCTAAATTGGTTCCATTTTATGTAAGTTGAAAATTAAAAATTGTAAACTCAAAAACAGAACATGCGTTAAATTTGTTCCCTTTAAATTAAAAAATTCAACATCAAACAGAGAACAAGCATTTGGTGTTTAGCTTGATCTGTACTCTCTTATTTCTATTTCTTTCTTCACTAATCTGGTTTGCAGGACAGGAACATATTTGTCTCTTTCAAAAAGAACTAACTGATGCTTAAATTCTTCATTTTTATTTAATATCCGAGTGATTCCCTTTCTATGATTTTGTTTCATTATGCTTTACCTTCTAAATGTTAACCAGTATTTACAAGTTGCATGCCATGAATGTGATAACAGGAATATGGGCAATATTGAGGAACAATGAGATGCTGACATGGCCAGAGAAAGTCAAATTTGCAATTGGGCTTCTGCCAGCTATGCTTGGTGGACAACCATATGTTGAGGCTCAAGATGGTCTTTCTGTTAAGGAATGGATGGCAAGACAGGTATAGAACTTGTCTTGATTGTGTAACCTTAGCAGTCCATAAATAGATTTAACTAACCTTTGCTACACCCATATTTTTCTTCTGTCATCCCTTCAAAGCCCAACGTTCACTACCATTGAGTATAGTCAGACACATCTCAGTAAAATAAAATTTCCATTTGAGCCTGATAGGTACTTTGTGATCACAAATAACCCATGCTCCATAGTCGGTTTTAAAGGACTCCAACTCTATCATAGACAATGTGGTGGAATTTTTGTTTTGATTCTTTCTGATATTCTCATTGTAAAATGAGTCAATTGTAGAAAATTTCTCTGTTTATTTTTCCTGTTTTCTCTGCTAAAATTTCTTCTTTTATTTTTGACCTAAAAAAATCTTTATAGAAAAAAAATGGAAGTACATTACTAAAACAGGTATTGCGTTACTATTTATAAAATTAAACTCCCCTTCTAGACTTGACTTTATACGTACTGATGCTTATTGTCTTCCTGGTTACTCAGGTATTTAATTTTTTTAGCACAATAAGAAAAAGAAATGAATAAGGAAAATTGGTTTTAAAAAAGGGAAGATAAAGAAGAAATAATTTCTTTCTCTTCCCCCATTCATATAAGGAGGGTTGTCTATGTCTGCATGCCTTTATTAGCATAGTTGATTCATTTGCTATTATTGAAAGAAAAATCAAACATGGGAGACAAACTGGGATATAGTTGAAGTTGTTTGTTTAGGTTTGGCTTGTACCATTATTGAAATACTAGTCATTGTGATCTGGATTGATGTGAAGAAGGGGCTTCTGTGCTCTAAGAATGGGAGAATAAATTAATTTTGTATATTAGATTTTGCTTTGTCTCTTAATTTAATGATGACAGTTGAGTATTTTACTTTACTGGAAAATATAGAAAGGATATCATAGTTGTAGTTGTTAGATTGTATTACTTGATATTTACGTAATGCTTTAAAATATATTTCATCAGGACTGAATGCAACCCTCTCATGGTCTGTATTGCAAATAATTTGAGAATAACAAAATGTTTTCTCCTTATTGTAGGGAGTACCTGAACGAGTGACTGAAGAGGTGTTCATAGCAATGTCAAAGGCACTAAACTTTATCAATCCTGATGAACTTTCAATGCAATGTATATTAATTGCTTTAAACCGATTTCTTCAGGTGTGATCATTTCCTTTCATTAAACACTATTCCAATGGCATTATTGTGTGATTTTTTAGGTCATTTCAATCTCATTATAACAGTTGAGTGGAATCAGATTAGTAAGCTCTAAGATGGCCTTTTATTTCACAAACATGTTTTGTGGAACTTGGGATCAATTTTTTCCTTCAACTAATTGTGATATTGTTAAATTCTTGAATAGGAGAAACATGGTTCTAAAATGGCCTTTTTGGACGGCAATCCCCCTGAAAGACTTTGTATGCCAATAGTTGATCATATTCAGTCCTTGGGTGGTGAAGTTCATCTCAATTCGCGCATTCAAAAAATTGAGCTCAATAATGATGGCACCGTGAAGAGCTTCTTACTAAACAATGGGAAGGTGATGGAAGGTGATGCTTATGTGTTTGCAACTCCAGGTATTTTTTTTTCTTATTTTCCCACTGTGTTAATTAATTGTTTTCTTGGCATCTTAATCTCCATAACATTTTTGAGGAATTTCCACCCTTGAAAACAGTGGATATTCTGAAGCTTCTTCTACCTGACAACTGGAAAGGGATTCCATATTTCCAGAGATTGGATAAATTAGTTGGAGTCCCAGTCATTAATGTTCACATATGGTAAGTAACTGCTTTTGATGTTGGAAACTATGTCCATGCATATGTTAGACTCCAATTTTAAATTAAATTATTACCATCATTATTATTTCATTTTGCTTTCTAAGTTATAAAAACTCAAATATTCACCCAAAAAGTTTGGAATAGAATTCTATGCAATTCGTCTTAAATTGTATTGGTGACAATCAACAAATTATAATTAATATTGTTCTTACAATTGAATGGTTGAAATTTTTTTTATAGTTTTGGTAAATGGAAATTTTATAGAGTTGTAGTTGAATAATGTCACTATCACTAATCGATGCAGTATTATACTTTGTTGACTTTTTTATTTTTATTTTTATTTTATTTTATAATTTACTCTCGTTTTACTGATATGTTTTTTTCAAAATTTTGGATAACTAACAAAATTTATTTGTAATATTTATCAACAATGATTATATTATTAGCTCCATTGTTGTAAATTGTGATGACATACTATATCATTGTTTTTGCAGGTTTGACAGAAAACTGAAGAACACATACGACCACCTTCTCTTTAGCAGGTCTTCCTCAATCCTAACACTTTTTGAAACATTTGTGATGTATGGAAGGGATAGAAATGATTGTCAATTACAAGTGACTGCATCTTGTTGATTGCCAAGTTTAGATGGAAATTTTTATTGTGATTGCAAGTGATACCATTTTGTTATTTAATAAAGGGTTTTCAATTTCCAGTACGTTGCAAGTGTCTGAGGATTTTAGGGATGAAGATCACTTCATTTTTTGCTGTGTGACCTGAACTTATTTCTTCCTTTCTTTATCGATGGCATTTGTGGATTATAAATAAAGCATTTTCATCACCTCACAACCTGTATATTTTTCTTTATGCAGAAGTCCCCTTTTGAGTGTATATGCTGACATGTCAGTAACTTGCAAGGTAAAAGTCACTTCTTGCATGTCATTGATTTGCACTGATGTATTTCCAATTCCTGTATTTTTTGTTGTTTGACACTGAATTTCTTCTGCATACGTTTGTCTGGTTGATATATCATTAAATGTTGGAATATTGTAAGTAAGGGTAACTAACTCTGTTTCACTATCTTATGCAGGAGTATTATAACCCAAACCAATCTATGTTAGAGTTGGTTTTTGCACCAGCCGAAGAATGGATTTCACGTAGCGATGAAGATATTATTCAAGCCACAATGTCTGAGCTTGCCAAACTCTTTCCTAATGAAATTTCCGCAGACCAGAGCAAAGCAAAGATTCTCAAGTACCACGTTGTTAAAACACCAAGGTTTGATTGAATGTTGGAATATTTCTTTTAGCTTCTTTTGTAAACATGGATTGTGGAATGTCTATTTTGTTACTGAACTAATGACATTCATGGTCACTACCTTAAGTTGTCTTGTGAATCCTAATGGAACTGATTACATTGTTTCAGGTCGGTTTACAAAACTGTTCCAAATTGTGAACCTTGTCGTCCCTTACAAAGATCTCCTATAGAGGGTTTCTATTTAGCTGGAGATTACACAAAACAAAAATATTTAGCTTCAATGGAAGGTGCCGTTCTTTCAGGGAAGTTTTGTGCACAGGCTATTGTACAGGTAAAATCTGTCACAAAACTATCTATGTAACTCTCAGCAAATCATTAGCAAGAAATGCAATTGTCTATACATGTTTTCTTAGTGATTTTGTGAGAGAAACTTCTTAATTATCAATACAGTAGGATGGATAACGCTATTTTGTGTTGTGGAAATTCCATACTAGAGTTCACAGCTTTTATTTGTTAATTCAAAGAGTCTTTTCATTTATTATTTTGTGGTTGAAACTTGAAACATTGTTATTGAGTTCCAATGCTCCTCATGCAAACAGGTTATGAACAATATTTGAAATTTATATGGAAGAGTTGGTGTAAATAGGATTGATCTTCTGTATAGGTTGATTTGAATGTTTTTCCTATCACTATATATCACATTGCTGTCATTGAGGCTTGCTAAAATGTTATGCAGGATTCTGAGCTACTTACTGCTCGGGGCCAGAAAAGAATTGCTAAAGCGAGTGCTGTTTAACAATTATGGTACAGTACAGGAGCAACATTTCAACCTTTGCTTTTGGTATCTGTGATCAGGAGACAGTCAACTATATCAATTCATACGAAGAAAGAAAGGTTCAGACTCTGAAATTCAGCTAGACAGCGATAATATGTGCACTAAGCTACAGGGAACAAATGACATGTGTTAGTCAATATTATAGTTTGGGTCCACCTGATAAGTGATTTTGTATTGGAACAGAATGTGTCATTCATGTGCCAAAATTGCAAGTGTACTGTTATCGTAAAATAATAAATTATTGTTCTCTCCACATGGACAGTGGTTTCTTTTTGTTCCTTCTATGGGTTTTTCTTAGGCCAATGACTTATACACTCATTCCGCTCCCAATACTATAATGACTTATACATTGATTCGGCTCCCAATTCTATAATTATTACTAAAATGATGAGTTTATGAGTTTTTGCTCAATACAAGTTTATGTCAATTAATTTATGGTGATTCAATTATTTGATTGTGAAAAAGGAACGTGAGAACAAAGTGAAAGGTAAATTTAAATTTCAAAATTTGAAATTAAAAATAGGTAATTGGTTCAAGCAAAATAAAGTTTAATTGATTAAAAAAAACAGATTTTATATTACGAATAATTAATACTTTTACTTTTGTGATGGTTGTTTTTAATTTTATATTCTTTGTTAATTCATTTTATCCTTTTAGAATTAATTGTACTGTTGAGAATTAAAATTTAAGTTTTTTTTAATCAATCAGAAATATAATTGTTAAATTTTTTAAGGTAATTATATACTGATAGCACATAATTATTAAAACTTTTATAAAAATCAATAAATTTATTACACGTGCAAATATGCGACTAGATTAAGAAGAAAAAAAAATGTTATCCTTGGCTTACCAATTAGTATTAGTAATAATATCAATATAAACGACTTAGGAGGATATAAAATTACAAGTGTGTGTGTGTGTTTGTGCGACGACCACAAGTTACTAGGTAGGAGGAATCATAAAAGATTGGTGGTGCAAGAAAAGACACATGGAAATGGAATCTATCTATCTATCGCTTATATCCAATCCAATCCCAAAAATGCTGTGGAACTGGATTTAGAAGTTAAAACAAAACAACAATGCCCATCTTCTCTGCAACGTTGGGTTCCATCTCCTTCCTCTCTGCTTCACAATCTCAATCAAACCTTTCTCCTTTCAAGTTAACTGTGAAGTCACCTTGTCAATGGCATCATTACTATCACACTACTAAAGTCTTCGTCTCTGGCAACACCCAAATTGACCAAAATCCTGACACTGGACTCCTTCAACGCCCTACTCCTCCTTCTCCAGACCCTCAGGATGTCACTCGTCAGGCTCGGGTCTGTATCTCTTGTTCATACTAAACTTTTCTTCTCCTCATCCATGCAATGCTCATTCTTAGTCATAACCAATTTATTACCACTTGTATGACATAGATATAAAGTAATAATCATATGGAAAAAACTTTAGATACATGACCATAGCTACTGTTCCTTCAATTTAAATACTATAATATAATGTCTGATCAGTTATTGCAGTGGTATGTCCTATTTAAATGCTTAAGTTGTGACTTGATCAGTACTTAAATTAAATCTAGACATTATTAGATCTTAGTTTTGCATTCATGCCTATTTCTAGCAGTGTATGTTGTGTTCTAATACTTGATTTCTGCAATGAAGTAGAGATCGTCAGATTGGAAGGCTGCAAAGGCATATAAAGATAGTGGACTCATTTATAGTGGTAGAGTTGAAAATTTTAATTCTGGTGGCCTTCTGGTTCGGTTTTTTTCTATTCTGGGGTTTCTCCCGTACCCACAATTGAGTCCGATGCATGCTTGTAAAGGTATCCATCTATGTGTTCATCCTCAACGTTTCTTACATTCTTCTTGTTTTCCTTTTTCCTAAATGTAATGTATGACTTGAAGTGTTAAAAAAATGTTTTCTTGTTTGCCTTTTTTCTAAATGTAATGTGTGGGTTGAAGACTTGAAGGGTTAACAATTGGTCTTGAACATTCTCAATTAGTTCTTCCTCTTTGTTTAATTTGAAGGGATCCTCACCCCGTCCCACGAAAGAAAAAAATCTTAATGCTACTTTGGAAAGTGTTGTTTCACTTGAATGTGAAGAACAATTTTTGAGAATTTCTGGCATAGATGAGAAAATAATCCTCACCCTCCCTGTCATATAGTTGAAAACATCTTACATTTTCCTTTTTCCCTTGGTATCCATAATCCAAAATATTATAGAGATGAAAATTTTATGATTTCCTATGTCATGTTACTGCATTTAGTCGCGTTTAGCTATCTCAACTCTCAAGCACGCAATTTAATCATCTTTGGATATATTTTAGTTGCTATGTTAGTAATAGTAGCATGTGGAGTTGCAATTGCTGACTTATTGTAGCTTTGAATTTGATTCTCTTGCGTAGAACCAGAGAAATCTATCCAAGAAATTGCAAGAGGCTTACTCTATTCAAACATACCGGTTAAGGTAACTATATTATTTAAATAATGAATACTATATGTCATCATTTTTTTTTCTGTGAATCCAACGCAATGTTTAGTCCTGAAGCTGCTGCGTGAAAGAACCATTGTTCCCTGAATCCATAAAACTAATGTAAATTCTTGCTCCACAACAGCCATCTCACTTGATCTATTTCAAGCAATATCTGGACATTAAAAGATAACAAATTCTTAGTTGTTATATCTCTTGTATTTGGAAGTATTTAGTGCTTCCTGCATCATTTTGGTATCACAATCCTTTGCTCGACTCTAAATCAGGTTATAATATTTTCAACATGCATGCTACGTTTATATGACGGGTTGTTTAAAATTTATAAATAATTGCAGTTTCTTCTAATTTTAGGTAATTCTAGCGGATGAGGATAAGAGAAAATTGATCTTCTCTGAAAAGGAAGCTGCGTGGTCCAAATTTTCAAAACAGGTCAACGTAGGGGATATTTTTGAAGCAAGAGTTGGTTATGTTGAGGACTATGGTGCTTTTGTTCATTTGCGCTTCCCTGACGGTAACTACTGGGCATAGTTCATATGTCTACCCTTTCCTTTTTGTTTTTTCACTTTTTCATGGAAAAGGTACAAGTGACATCACAGAATGATGCAGATCTTTATCGCCTTACTGGACTAATACATATCTCAGAAGTGTCCTGGGATCTAATTCATGATGTCAGAGATATCTTAAAAGCAGGTGATGAAGTGAGGGTCAAAGTTGTCGGTATTGATTGGTGAGATTTCCAATAGTTATGCTTTTTAAAGGAATTTTCTATTGATCTTCTCGCTGGTAGCTACATGTTTTGCTTTGTTAATAACCAATTATTTCAGAAGAGGTGGTTTTATATGGTTGCGCTTGTGGTTGTATATGTAATATGTCCCTTCATGCTTAGCTCTTTGAACTTGATAACCCATTGAAAATGCAAATACCCTACTTTGAGTTGAAACCTAATTTTTCTTTAGAAGAATGAGGGCAACATGGATTGAACTTTGGTGTTTGGACCGCGTGGTTATAGAAGCTTTGATACTATGTCAAGATTCAATATTCTTAAAAACAAGAAATTATTAAGTGGTTCTTGACTATATGATCTTTAACTAATCTTTGTATGACACGTAATTTAGTGTTATTAATTTTTTTCATAGATTAAAAAATGTAAATATATGCTGTATTGTGATTGATTGAGATCATGGACATAGTCCTAGATTACTTAATAATTCTCCTTAAAAATTTAGTGAAGCAACATGAGTGAATTTTATGTCTAACATGCTTGATATATGATTTCTTCTAATTTTCTACATTTGTCTTGTGTTTATGAAAATCACTTTTTGACATACCTTGGTTCTTGCAGGGGAAAATCAAGGATTAACCTATCAATAAAACAGCTAGAAGAAGATCCACTTCTAGAAACTCTGGACAAAGTAATACCTCAGGTTTGTACGGACATAATAATGTGTGTATATATATATATATATATATGAATTTTTGGGGGCAAGACATAGGTCTATAAATGTGTGTGAGAAATTTGTTTTACCAATAAATTCTATATTTCAGGATGGTTCAGCTGATCCTGATTCTACGAGCAGTATTGATAGCGGTGACATTGAGCCTCTTCCAGGGCTTGAAACAATCCTTGAAGAGCTACTACAAGAAGAAGGGTATGTTTCCATCACTTTGAAAATTTTAATTATTTTAAATATTGGTAATCAGTGTTACATCCATCCCCTGCCCCCACACGATTTTAAATATTTCATTTGACAAAAGAAGAAAATATCATTTACAAAGAAGTTTGAATAAAAATCAATTAGATGACTTTGAATGAGTTACAGTGTATGTTAAGTAATATATATGATGAGTTTTCTAATTTCTATGGCCTGACGACATTGTGTTCTGTCACAGTATATATGATGTAAGAATCAGCCGTCAAGGGTTTGAAAAACGAGTGGTCTCGCAAGACTTGCAACTTTGGCTATCTAATGTGAGTTTTAATTTATAATTCTTCCATAAATAGTGGAACATGATAAAAATAAATTATTTATTTTGGTAATAATTTTCATTTCTCCCAATTGATGAATCTGTCAACATCTTAGGCCCCTCCCATAAACCAAAGGTTTACTCTCCTTGCTCGGGCTGGAAGACAGGTGAATTTCCTTTAATTAATGTTAATTAATTAACACGCATATTACATTGAATCACTATTGCCACCTAATAATGAAAATGATGTGTGATATGATTAAAGGAATAGGCTTAAACCTATGGGGCCTTACCTATATTTATTACTATATTCAAATGTCCCATGACAATGTTTTATCCTGCGATGCAGGTGCAGGAGATACATCTGACCACATCCCTTGATCAGGATGGTATCAAGAAGACATTACAACGAGTATTGGAGCGTGTTCCCTGAATATCATTGACTCAAGGAGAACACTTCCTTGCCGATAATCAGTGATTTTGTACAGTTATATCTCACCAATTTCAGATATTCTATTATAGAGGGTATTTATATAAATCCAATATCCTTATTCTTCGATGTATCCCAAAATTGTTAGATATAACTAGTAACAAAGTTCTTGTAAAACACCCCTCAATCACAATTTGCTTGAGTTCACTCATTCAGAATTGCCAACACATTTATGCAGCTACAATAGTAAACAGTTACATATATAGGTTCTTAAGATAATCGGCCACAGCAAACATATAATACATATTTATAATAGCAATGACTTGGAAAACATATTATTTTTATAACAAGTTCTGAAAAGGGTGTCCCATATGTCAGCTTAACATGTTCAAACAGAGACCCCGGTGGCAGATGATGGAGGTGCGTCATGCTTCAGCTCAACCTCCCTCAGGCGAGTCTCAAGGCCCTTGCCTCCTCCATTGGCCAATGGATGAATTCCGTGAGCTGGCCCTGTCATATATTCCCTGCTTTTTCTTTCTTTCTCAAAGTCTATCCCCAAACGCTGCGCACAACCTACATGCATGTGTAGCAAAGCCGAAGGATCAAACTCATTATAAATTAAACTTGTTATTTTCCAATAATATGCATGGAGCCTATATTATTGAATAACAAAATAGATAAATGTACATAGAACTTGAACCAAATACATAGAAAGTACAGGAATGTGAGGAAATAGGTTGTGCAAGTAATTTTACAGTCATTTAATTACAGATCAACACATAGATAACTAAAAAAGTTATTAACAGTGATTTCTTCTTATACAATCAAGATGCATAGATGCCTAAAAAGTCATAGTTACAGTGATTTCTTATACAGATCAAGTGTATAGATGCCTAAAAAGTCATAGTAACAGTGATATATATATGATATATGATTAGATGAAAGTGTATAAGTATAACCATTAAACACTAAAAAATATACTTACTTTGGACTAGGTGATCATAGATCTGGCCATCTCTAGTGAAAGACATCATGAGCTGTGGTATCCCGTATGGGAGAGAGTGACCCTTGTCAACTTGCCAAAAATGGAAGACTTTGCCATAAGTCTTGCACACTAGCTCCATGTCTTTGCAGTGTATTGGAGAGGGAACATTTGGCAACAAGAGGAGGCCACTCTTGACCTCGTACAAGTGAGAGTGCCACAGAATCTTCTCCTCGTCGGGCAGTGTCAAGTACAGGTTTTCGGAGATGATGTACTCGAGCCCTATAAGCCTACCCTTCTTTTCGGGGCGGTCGTAGATAAGGCACTGCCTCATCTCCTCGTTCACGTGCCCGCAATAGTGGTGTGCCTCCACTTGCCGGGTCATGTCATAAGAGTAAAAGTGAAACCTACATGCATCAATAACATATCATACATAGAGCACTACATGCATTATTCATACGTAATGTACTTAAATAATGTTCAACACTTCAACTCGAATTAGACTAACAAAAACCAAAATCAACTATCTTGAACCAGTCTGGTCTAGAACACAGGAAAGCTACCTGATGTTTCCAGAGAATCGATAGATTACTGTTAGTGTTAAAATGTTTGGTCAGCGAAAATTATACAACGCAAGCAGCCAAGCACATATGTGTTTGTTCACTAGGTAGATTGTGAAACACTTGTCTATGAAAAAAAAAAAAAACTAACAAAAGAAGAAGCATAAGCTCGTGCTCACGTACGCGCAAAGATGTTGGTGGATTTTGTTAATGGGAGTGAAGCTTTGGATAACAGCTGTGGCTGTGTCACGGAGGTAGGTGGTGGTTTTAGTTGGCTCACCATCTAGTACTTGTGGATGGGTGTCGTTGGTCGACATTTTTGGGCTGAGAGGGAGCAATATGGTTGAGATTGGATATGATGTTTAAGTTATGTAGATGGGATACGCATTGATGAAATCAAGTCTCATCACGTTCATTCATATATGATGAGTATGGCAGAGTAGTGAGGTGATTTGTGAAAGCGATGGTAATTTGACAACATTGCATGCAGCTATACACGTGGTTGAGGAACTAGACGTGGCAGTCTTTACAAACTGAGTGGCATCAAACGTGGCACTTCTAAACTATACTATGTCATGATGTTTGACTTTTGTATTAAGAGTGTATTTCACAAGCTGACTAGAAATATTTGGATGAAAATAATTTGGTTTAGTAGGAAAATTTATTTTACTTGCTCTTACTTCCTATCAAAGTCTATTCGGATAAATTTTGTAAATACTTTTAAAAAAATAGATAACAGAAACAAAATTAGTTTCTCTATAATAACTTAAAAATAAGTTTAAAAATTAATATGAGAGAATTTTTACAGATTATTTTGTGTATAAATTAATTTTAGTTTATAGAAAAAAATATTTTATTTTTTCTCCTATAAATAATTATAGAAATCAAAGTTTATTCAAACATACAATCTTATTTCCATAAGCTATTTCAAAAATTAATGAGCTACTAACTTTTTTCTTCCTTCATAAGTTAGGTTTTTTAACAAAGATTAACTATTGTAAAATCTTGCAAGTATAAGATGATGTCAAGAAAAAAGAAAATGGAGTTTATATAATTTTGTAAACTTTAAATAAATTTTAGTTAAAAATAAAGTGTTGGGAATATTGTTAGAAATTTCATCTTTCTAGTACTTTCTAAGAAAAAAAATTAAATGAAATAGTAAATATATTTAACATAACCGCAATATAAAAACTAATTAATATTTTATCTATCTAATAAATGCGAGGATCAAAAAGAAAAAGTTGCAAGAAAATTTATATATTTATTTTTGAAAAAAGAGTAATGGCTCAACCTTACCTTGTACGCAAAAATTCAAGGTTCAAAATATATGAATCATTTTGGCTGACCGTGTCAATAAATTCTTCTTCTTTTTTTTTTATTTGGAAGAAAGTGAGAAGAAACATTAAAGAAGAAAGTACGTAAGCTATGGGAAAAAGATTTTCATAACATCAATACAAAAGAGTTAATAAAATAAACATAATTCTTTTAAATAATTAAATCATTGATTATAGATGAGTTATGATGAACTAAAGATTATGCATATATATTGACCACTCAATATATATATATATATATATATATATATATATATATATATATATATATATGTGTGATAGAAAGAGATTTATCATTGTATGATTCTAAAGAATATAATGAAGTTGAAGGTGACTATCATTGGATGATAATTAATATCTTTTTAAAAATCAAATGGATAGTCATTAGTCATGAGTAAATCTGAGAAGGAATCGTAGACTTACCGAATATGAATCAAATAATAACCACGTAATTCCGCATTGAAATAAGGATAAAAAATAATATCAATGAAATCATTTGGAATCAAAGTTCTCATCTAATAATAATAGAATGAAATCAAACTTTTACGTCTTAATTAAAGCAGTTATTAATAATAATATTCCTTTTAATAGTAAAATATGAAAGAGTTTGGTTGAATGTAACATTTTTGACTCTCAAAATTTTTAGAGCACAAGTTGTGACAACTTGATTGTTCTGAAAATTCTTAAAAAAATATATATTTCAAATGTTAAAATTAAGTATTTATGATTTAAAATCTAAACAATATTACAAAAATATTTTTCTAGTGAAAATGATCAAATAGACGTGACGTCTTTTTGTTTCCTAAATTGCCTAAGAACGTATAGTTATAATTTATAATCTCGAGATCTTTTAAAATGAAGCACATTACAAATTATAAGTTCAATTTAAAATCAAGTTTTATATTTTATTAATAAAATAATTCAAGTAATATTTGACAAAAAGATTATTTGAATGTGACATTCTCTTAATCTTAGAAGGCAAGGATACAAGCACTACTACAAAAAGCATATTTTACATCGGTTCTCTAAAGTCATCTACATCGGTTCTGAAACCGATGTAGAATAGAGAGATGTAGAAAATGTATACATTTTTACATCGGTTCTGGAAAACCGATGTAGATTTAAGCATAAATCTACATCGGTTCTCCTGAGAACCGATGTAGATTGCTTTTTTTTTTTTTTTTAAAAAAATATGCTTGTTTTTTGATTCTTTTACCGTTGTAATAATATTTGGCCAATGAAAATATGCAAGCAATTAAAAATGGAGAACAACATGGAATTTAAATTGACAAAGAAACCAAAAAAAAAAAGAGTGTGGTGAAAACTTAACAAAATAAAATAATAAAAGTAGTATGTAAATTAAGACCCAAAAGCCAACCATTATATCTGTATTGTGTAGCATATAAGAAAGGTGATAGTTAAGGTGAAGAAGGGGATCCACTGCAATAGTTTTGCATTAATAAGGCAACACTACAATCAAATTAATAACTATTGACTACTGGGATGCCATATGCTTTGTCATGCCACTTCTATTTTCTATAAAATCTGTTTTTTTCTTGCGATTTGCAATAATGATAAATCATGGCATTCATAACATTTTATTTCCCTTCACTAACTTCTGGAACTACTATGACAACTTTCTACGAAAATATATATATTTAAAACATGACTTTAAAACTTTTAAAAATACGAATTTGAAAATGTAGGTATTTGCATGTCTGTTTGGAATTTTTTTAAAAATATTACTTGGTATTTCTCACCGAGAGCATTCATAAATTAGTGATATACTACTTCATTTTCATTTCCATTAGGAGAGAAATGAGAAAGATATATTTCCATTGAAACGTGAGAATTCTTTTCCAAACCCATTTATAACTACTTTCATTTCAAGTTTTAAAAATATTTTTAAGAAATATTTTAAACTATTTTTCTAAATAACATTCTTAACAGCGATATTTTAAAAAAGTGATTCCATAAATATAATATCATATTCTTTTGGGTGAATCACCTTTATAAAATTCACGAAAATGCCATTTTAATAATAAATAATAATAATAATAAAAAAATAAGGTATTACACTAACAAATAACATTATTATAATCCATATTTTAAACTAACTCCAAGATTTTGTAGATGATATGAAGTTATGCACTAACATTAGTAATAGTTATAACATCCCAAGAATCCAACAAGCCTCTCTTGACTATGTCATTAAACTATAGATGGGGATAGTAGGATATTACTTTTTTTTTTCTCGTCATTTTTATATTTATTTGTAATTTTAAATTTTAAGTTAATACTAATGATATTTTAAAATATATATAATTATTAAAATTATAAATAAAAAAATTAAAATATTAAAAATCATTACAAATACCTAATATATATATATATATATATATATATATTCAAAAATTTGTTTTTTTTAATTTTATTATAATTTTCATATCTTATTTAAAATTATTTTTATTTTTATTTTGTAAAAAAATACATAAAAAATTACATGTTAAACGGTATATTAATACAAATTAAAAATATAAATAATATGTACATATATAATATGCTTGCAATTAATATCACAAAATAATATATGTAATATTTACATAGATATTATATTATTAAATATATAATTTAAAATTATTAATATACTATAAAAGTTATTTAAGTTGTATATATTACAAACAAATATATTAGAACAAGTAGTTATTATTATATTTAATAAGACTCCTTGCTTTTCCATTAAGAGATTCAATTTTTATTATTATTTTTGTGGTTGATGGTCCCTTAAAAAATTTTATTAAAAAAAAAAAAAGTGGTTGAACCGGTTTGACCCACCGGTTCACCGGTTGAACCGGAAAATTTACCGGTTCAAGGCGGTTTGAAACGGGTCGACTGCATAACCGATCCAACTTAAGATTTGGACCGGCTAGACCACCGGTTTCCAGTCCAACCGGTCCGACCGGCCGGATGGGTCCAGTTTTTAAATCACTGCATATAAGTACAATAGTTAATCATTAAATTTGTTTAGTATTAGTCGTTATCACCGAAAGAGAAGACACATTTTGGCAATCAAGCATGTTGATATTGTAGTTGTAAGGTCTAATTTTAGAGTATAAAAAATCGATTTTATATTTTAAATTCTAATGAATTAGATAATTGAATTTAGATAATTGAATCTTTTAAATATTATATATATATATATATATATAAAGTTTTAGGGTTATTATGAAAGAATTTGTGATTTGAGTTGCATTGCTTGACGGGACGCACGGGTAGTTGGAAGATGAGAAGAGTCGTAGTTGGGTAATTAAAGACTTAAGACTAACCACTCAAATTAACTTTACTACACTTTTTTTTTTATTCTGTTCTCACACGCCCACATTCATATTACTTCTTTTAATTCATAAAACGATATTATTTTTAATATTTTATATAAATTAATTTTTGTTTATTAATTTTAGGACATGTATAAAAATTTAACAATTTTTAATTTTTATTTGTTTTTACTTTTTAGTCGATACATTTATTTTTTTAAATTATAATCTTTTAATTTTAAAGACTAAATATTAGTAAAATTTCAAAAGAATATTTTATTTCTTGTTAAAATTAAAAATATGTTGATAAATTAAATCTTTAAAAATCGATTATTGAGAGTTAAATATAGTATAAAAGACTAATTTAATTTGTCACAATATAATGGATTAATTAAAGTTTTAATTCTCATCGGGTGAGAGATTCATAATATACATTTAATGTTTGACTATATTTTAAACGTGATTGTCTTTTATATATATATATATGGGAGAGATTATAATTATATAAGCGTAACTTTTACTGAGTATTACACCGCTTAATAACTTTATATTAATTGTGAAATTTGTAAATCTAACCATTAAATTGAAAGTTCATATCACTTTATATCTATATATCAAATTTTAACCCCCTATATATAATTTATAATTTATTAAACCATTTTTTCTTTAAGAAGCAAATTAGAAAAATAACTCGTGAATAGAAATATATTTGTAGTTATTATTTTAAATGTGTGTTTTCATATATTATAGATTTTAATAAATAAAAGATAAATTATTAACATATATTATCTTTATTCAATAGGTTTTTTTTTTATATATATAAATTGCACTAAAGTTAGAACTAATGATGTCATGCATACTTGATACTATTCTCAACTTTCGCCGCTAAATCAATTCTATTGTACCTTATTGACGTTTGATGTTAATGGACATATATTCAAGAATATTTAATGAATACTTTAGACTAAAATATTGTTATTCAACATCTCGTCATTTTTTTTATTTATAAATTTCTTCTATAATAATTATTAAATGCGTTATAGATATGAAGAAATAAATATTTTAAAATTTGGGAAACAAAGAGAAAAAAGAAAATAAAATAAAATGCCATTAGATGGATATCCAAAAAAGATAGTACTTTTTATTAAAAAGAAATTCCTAAATATGCATTGTTAGGACTTTTTTAAAATTATCAATTAATAAAATATTTTTATAAAATAATTGTCAATATTATATATTAAAAATAGTTGTGAATATATAAACAAATTTATCATAGAGGTGTTGTGTACCTATTAGATGAATAATGTTGTCTACAGTAATTTTATTCGACTTATATAGAACTATCTCAAATAAAAGATAGATGTGATTTTATTAAAAAAAAGTAAATTTCTTCCAAAAAGTTGTCATAGAGATTTTGATTGCATGTTATTATTACGTCTGATACATTTTTAATAATTACTTTTAAAAAAACAAAATTAAAAAATTTACAATTAATTAACCATATAAAAATCTTTCGAATATACGAAATCTATTTTTAAAAATTTAATAAAGCAATAAGAACATATAGTTGTTGAAAGTTCCAAAATGGCATGCTTCTTTTTCTTTTATGTTCGAATTCAAATCTTCCTTAATTACGCCACTTTCCTCGAACCTTCCTTCCATAAATCGGACGAACAAGACTTCTTTTTTTTTTATCTCTTCGTTTATTATTTTTTCTCACCTTAATCTCTCTTAACAAAGACATATCACATTTGTAACTTTTAACATTTTTAGTTTCTATTGACTTATTAGTGTCCACCAACTAGTAGAGGTTGGGATAGTATATTTAATGTCTTAAATTTAAACTCAAAAAGAAATCTTAAATTTAATTCTTGTTACTATTTTTGTAATTTTTTATTGATAAAAAATCTTCTTAATTTATTGTTATTGAATACGGTTGTACACGATATAAATGTCATATAATAAGAAGAAAATATCAAGTATCAGAATGCGTTTGATTTGCTAAATTTTATAATACTCAACACAAAAATATTGTTCTGTTTTTGACTAATAAAAGGGCTATAGTATAGGGGTAAAAAAATTAAAGAAGAAGGACATAAAAAAAAATTACATTTTTTTACTCAAAAAATCCTAAACAATTTTTTGTTTTAACAATTAAAAACTCTTACTACCATGTTATATTGTTATCATCTCAAATTTTATCTATCGTCATAACTTATTATTATTATCTTTACAATTCATCGTTATTATCATCGTTTTATATTATCATATTTTTATTATTGTTATTGTCACCACTATTATTAATACTATTATTATCGTCACGAATATAATAATAATTTATTATGATAATTAATATTAAAATAATAACAAATTTAATATTATTTTATTTGTGTTATTTATTAACACAAAAAATTATCTAATAAATTAAATATTTGTCATGGATTGTTCTTTTTGTCATGTACTTTACCATGTATTAAACAAATTTTTAAAATAATTATTATTTTAACTTTTTAATATAATAATTTGAATAAACTTTTTTGAAAGTATTTTTTTTAAGAGAGAGAATATCTACATCTTTATCTTTATTTTTATATATAAAAAAGAAGAATTATTACAGTAATTAATGCAGACAACTTTTTTCACTATTTATAGTTTAATAATTTTTAATTTGTATATATATATATATATATATATTATAATTTAAAAGTAATTACTCATTTCAATAATTAAATACAATATATGTTGAACATTATAAAGTCATACTCCTTTAATTATTGAGAGAATTTTAAACGATGTATCTGATATATTTAAACTTCCTCAATCCTAATAGATATTGTTATTTCTCCTTCTATCTAAATTTTTTTTTACGTAATATTCTTCTAGTTTTCTAACACTTCTTTATGTTGTTCTATCATATTTTAATATATATAAAACAAACAACTTTTTCAATAAATATAAGGAGCAAAAATAAATTGTATTAATAAGCATTTTCAATAACTATTATTTATAGTACTAAATATTACGGAAGAAGGTTATATACTTTCCATTCTTAAAAAATGAACAACGTTTTTAATAAATACTTGTAGGAAAAAAAAAGTTTTACTAATAAAAATCTTTCAATGACTATCATTTAAAACACTAAATACTAAGAAACAACTTCCAAATATGTGGCTATACACACTCCATTCTCATGGATGGAGTTATTCTCATCACATAATTTTAACCTATATAAATAACCTTTAATTATCATATTTTCACCATTATATCTTTCTCCATTCTTAAGTGATTTATTTGATGTTTCATTTGAAAACATTTATAATATATTTTGGTATTTTTATTTTCTTTTTTCATTGTATATATATTGGTATTTTTGTTTTATTTATGTTAATATTGGAAGGTCATGAATACATAATATGTTTTGTATATTATTTATTTAGTATTTTTTTGTTTAATTTGAAAATAATTTCTAATGCATGTTACAATTTTTTTATTGTGTTTTATTTGAAAATAAATATTATGTTTTGCAAACAAAAAAATATGTCATAATTACAATCATATTTTAGAAGATAATGAATAATATATCTATTGTTTGAAGTAAATGACTTTTTATTAGAAGATCATTGTTGTTAATGTAAGTAAAACTAAAAGAATTTGTAGATGATCAAGATTATTTGAAAAATCTATTGTGTTACCCATGAATTCATAAATTATTTATATGTTTTATGAAATCTCTACAATCATTATTACATTTTCATTTGATTTATAAACTTTTATAGAATATGTGTAAAATTTTAACATGTTATTAATTTTTTTTCTTATTTTGTATATTTAACAGCACAAGCCTTTCAATTTTTTTATGAGATTGTTATATTTAGGTTTGAAAATTGTATTCAAATAGTGGATGAAACAAACAATCTGATGTATATTATTGTTGGTTAACCCATGAATAAGAAAATTGTTGCATATGAAAAAAAACCTTAAAAAAATAACTTTATATCATGTTTAAAGTGCTACAAGTAAAGAATTACATTTTTTTAATGTTATTTTTACTAGTAAAATTTAAGTTATCTTTCAAAATTTACTTAGTATACCATCTCAGCCAAGATATCTTATTAGTCACATAATATTTTTTTGTATTTTTTATTCTTTCATTTTAAGCATATTAAATTTATAAAACTTATTTAATTAATGTAATTAACTATCACAAATTTAAAAAGATGAAACAATTTAATCAATCAATAATTTCAACATATGTAAGTTATTAACATTTAAAAATCAAAAATAAAACAAAAATACACAATTTTTGCATCCCTAATATGAACACAATTAATTATATATATATATATATATATATATATAGATTATTCAGTCTAATATTTGATATTTAATTGATTTAGTACATAATATGAAGTCAAGATAAGAATTAATAATTAATTAATATTGATATATAATATTTTGACAAATTTATCAAATCTATCCATATATAAATAAGTAAGATATGAAATATTGCTTAAAATAATAAAAAATTAATTAATTTATATTTAACACACACCATAATCACCAAAATTATTTAAAAAGAATTCACACAATTAATAATTAAGATTATTTTTTTATTTTAATAAGAATATATAATTTTTTCACCGAATCATCTCTTTTGAGAATAAAAAAATAATGTTGATTATGTCTTCATACCAAATTAGATCAAACTCTAATAATTGACTAAAGAATAAATATTGAATCATTTGAATAACCTAAACCTTATTATTACAAAATAAACATAACAATGATTTTAAAATATAGATAAAATACATTTAAAAAATAAAATTAATAATAATGTTTTTTTATTATATATTATTATATAAAATATATTTTAAATTAATAATGAATACTAATTAATAATAAGACTAAACGTGTATAAAAAAGTGTAGAGTTATATTATGGAAAAAAAAAGAGTAATAATTTAATGGAAATAGTGAAATAGAAGAGAGTCAAAGGAAGGAAGAGAAAGCAAGGTAGAATAGTCGATAGTCAAATATTGGTTGTAGGATATATAGATAGATAGCAGTCACGTATGAATTATGAAAGGTAGCGTTTGGTTTGCAGTTTGCAGTGTGGGATGGAGGGTGCGTTTGGGAATCCAATAGAGTGTTTGGGGAAAGGGTTTGATCTGACAAGTGATTTTCGATTGAAGTTTGCGAAGGGAAAGGGGAAGAGGTTGGTGCTGATTGACCAACTCAAGAAAAGAGACATTACGCTTCCTGTTCCTGGCGGACTCACCATTCCCGATGTTTCCGAGGATATCCGCTGCGACAAGGGGGACCGCCTTCGCTTCAAATCCGATGTTCTTCAATTCAACCAGGTCATCTTTTCTCTCTCTCTCTCTCTCTCTCCGATTAATATTCATCGTCTAATACTCTTTATTCTTCTTTCTTACGCTTCTTCTTCTTCTTCAAATGTCAAATCGCTTTCCAAATTTGCATTTTTTTTTAAATCTGGTTACCCTTAAAATAAGAGAAAAAAAAATTAGAATATGTATTGGTGCAATAAAATAGTTAATACTTGATATAAAATAAGTTTATTCAATCACATATCATAATTTTAATTTACATGATCTAGTAGTAGGATGAAAATTTTTCAAAAACAAATAATGGTAGGATGAAAATTTATAGTGTATTTGCTTTCACGTTCTCAACGCGGTTTTTCACGTTTAATTAGAATTTAATAATTATAATTTTCATGCTTTTTTTTTTTAAGATGAATTGGCGTGATTTCTAAACATGCACTTAATTTATATGCATATCTCGGTCTAATTTTTCATACATTTTATTAAAATTTAGTAGATCGCCATATCCTCTTATTTATTAATATATATGATATAGGATGCCTATATAGCTTTTTTTTAATACAAAAGTTAGACATTCTGCACTTTTGTGTATTTTATTTAAAAATTAAATAATTAAAGTTAAATAAGAGATGATGATTAACCATGGGAACAAATAATTTTGGATAGTTAATCAGAGAGTATGATAAAAATTACATTAAAAAAAATTAAAAATTATAAGAGTAAAACAGTTAACAAAAGTGTACACAAAAAAGCACATGCTTTTATTAATAGAATGATAAACCATACTTACTTTAAGGAGATAGATTTTGATAATTATCATTTTTATTTTTATTTTTCATTAAATACTTTCATCCCAAAATTTATACTATACACTTAAATTACTATGTTCTCTCAAAACTCCCCTTAAAAATAGATATACAAATACATGGAGTGTATATCTGTTTTCCTTCTAGCTTATATAAACTATAACTCAATTAAAAATATATTTTAAAATAACAATGTAAAGTTACAATTGTTAATTAAAAAATAATGACCTGAAAGTTTAAATTATAATTAAACACGGATGTATGCATACAAAATATGTCGCGTTTTTTTTCTGACTGAGAAAATATGTAGTAAAAGTCTATACATTTATTTTTAAAATCAGTGACTAATAATTTTGTTTTCTTTTGAAATATATCCCTCTCATGAGAGAAGTCGATCAAAAGATGTTTAAATTACACCATAATCTCCTTTATTTTAAATATTTCACTATAATTTTTTTAGAAATTAATATATAGACTAAATCCTACTTTTAATCTCTATAATATATAATCTATAATTTTACTCTCTAATTTTTTAATTATATAACTTTAATCTTTTAATTTTATAAAATTTATAATTTTGATCTATTTGTTTAGTGATCAATATAATTGTAACATTGGTTATATCTTGACATCAAGTACATAACACAACAATTAATATTCAATCATTTGTAATTCTCATAAGATTATTGGGTATAAAAAAGTTTCTCCCTTATCAAACCTCTCCTAAAAATAAAATTTGATCTAAATATTATAAAATGTTATTTATCATATCATCTATTAAATGTCAAGTCATAAATAACGTTATAAATTTAATGATTAATGGATGAATATTTGACAAATTTTTAAAATTGCAGATTTTATAAATTAAGAGACTAAAATTACATAATACAATTTGGCTCAATATCTATTACATTTTTATTTATTTTAACATAAATAAATAATATCTAGTTTTTTTTTCTTTTTACTTACATTCTACGTAAGACTCATAAATAAATATTCTAGGTAGGGATAATGTTTAATGTTTAATTAGAATTTAGAAGTTTTAAATTCTGATGTTAAGAATGAAATAAGTTATATCGAGAGGAAAATATTCACTTTATATCCATTCATAATTTTTTTTATGGAAATTAATTATCATTTTTGGCAATGAATATTTTGTAATAATATCATAATTAAAAATAAATAAATTGAAAGTTTTAATTCTTTTATTTTCATTTATACGTTGAACTATCGTATATTAGAAGAAAAAAACTTGCGTGTTTAGTACTTTGAATTTGGAAAATATAACTTTGGAAAGAGATCTATGCATAACTTGATTCACTTGAAGCATTGTTAAATGACTGATGACTCTTCTTAACTTTGTAGATGTCTGAGTTGCTTAATCAAAAATCAGCTATACAAGGAAAAATTCCTTCTGGCTATTTTAACGCTCTTTTTGATTTGAGTGGTGAATGGTTTCGTGATGCTCATGACATCAAATATCTTGCCTTTGATGGTTATTTCATTTCACTCTACTATTTGCACCTCACTGCTTCACACCTCATTCTGCAAGACGAAGTAAAGAAGTCTGTTCCACCTCAGTGGGATCCAGCTTCATTATCCAGGTAAGCAAAAAGCCACAACAACCATTCTCAATAGAAACAAAAAATAAAAATCTCTATATTTGGCACATAATTTTAGTCGATCACTGTGACATGTATTTAAGTTTTTCAATCAATAAAAAAAATTCGATAATACTTAATTATATATCATGCAAAGATTAGTTACAATCCATATGGTTCAACACTACCTCATAATTATCATCAGAGAGTGTAACGAGCATTTCTCAACATGTGAAACATGTTGAACTTAAGGGGCACCAAGGGAATTGCATAACTGATATTGACACAATGACACCATTTGGAACATGAATCATGCATGATTTGGGATTATTAAGTATGTTGCTGATGAGTTTTGTTAGGCAGGTTCATTCAGACATACGGTACACACATAATAATAGGTATGGCTATTGGAGGTCAAGATGTAATCTGTGTCAAACAAAAACATTCTTCAAAGGTTCCGCCTGGTGATCTTAGAAGACATTTAGAAAATCTTGGAGATTTTTTGTTTTCAGATTTAAGAAGCCCTTCTCAACTACCAACGATCACCATAGAAGACAGACAAAAAGTAATAAGTATATGGCTTTATCTTGTACAATTTTTACATATTTGTTACTTATCTGTTGATGCAATGTCTCTATTCACGTAGGTTCCTGAGGTCTTTAATCGTGCGATGCAATCAAGCACAATGCAGCTTACCAGCATTTCAGAAACATCAAGCAAGGATGTAAGTCACAATAAGAGAAATATTTGCCATTTGAAAACTGAACCGAATAAAATTTGGGTTTAATGGTCATGCTACACTGACACCCAATCAAAAATCATCATTAGTGTGACTTTTAAAGTAGTTGTTGTAAAAATAACAAAAATACCATACATGACAATTTGTGATAGGATGATAATATAAAATTATTTTACGATGACAGTAAATAGTCCTTTTTATTATAAAATTTCTAGGATGTTAATTAATATCTTACTTTATCTTGGGACAGGGCCTCACTATCATTTGTTCGAAAAGAGGAGGAAATGTGTTCAACCACAATCACTCAAATTGGCTCCAGACAGTGGCTTCTAATCCTGAAGCAATCCTCTTCAAGTTTGTACCTATTTCCTCACTTCTCACAGGAATTCGTGGAAGTGGCTATCTTAGTCATGCAATCAATTTGTATTTACGTTGTAAGCTCTTCTTCTCAGATCAACCAATAATAATATAATGATATAATCTATCCACCTTTATCCATATGCATTTTATACTGTTTCAATGATCAAATTATCCTTGTCACCCTTTACTAAAGTACACGAGTTTCAAAGTCATAATTTCTTGCACATTTGTCATTTACAATTTATTGACCCTTAACACAACCTTGATTGATTCATTTGTTCTTTACAGATAAGCCCCCTCCCGAAGATTTACAGTGCTTCTTGGAGTTCCAAATTCCAAGGCAATGGGCACCTATGTTTTATGAGCTACCTCTAAGGCATCAAAGGAAAAAGACTTCTTCCCCTTCCTTGCAATTCAGTCTCATGAGTCCCAAGCTTCATGTCAGCTCTGCACAGGTATTACTCCTTGCCAACCTCTCCCACCTAATTGAATAACAAAACTTATACACAGGATCATCTATACCGTTATCCGATTAGAATTGGAATTTTACTTTAGTAATAAATGTTGGCATTAATCGATATTACAGTTCAATTAGAATTGAAATTTTACTTCAATAATAAATGTTGATATTATTGATGTGAAACTCTAATTTTAATTAAAAAAAATCAACACGAAGTGATATTGCATATAACTTTTATCCTGATGATTATGTATGTATTGATTATTTGTTAATCGTGACATTTTATTTCATGCAAAACAATATCAGGTAGTAAGTGAAGAAAAGCCTGTGGTAGGCCTTCGCTTGTACTTAGAAGGCAGAAAATGTGACAAACTTGCAATACATGTAAACCACCTTTCAAGCCTCCCAAACACAATGATCCACTCTTCAGGCACATCTTTGTGGAGAGGTTCTGATTCTAATGATGATGAATTCAGCAGTGACCAGTTTCTGGAACCAATAAGGTGGAAGGGATTTGCAAACGTGTGCACCTCAGTGGTCAAGCATGACCCTAACTGGTTGCATGAATCAAGTGGTGTTTACATTGTAACAGGTGCACAACTCATTAGCAAAGGAAGTTGGCCAAAGAATGTGCTTCACTTGCGTCTCTTATATACCAACATACCAAATTGTAGTATCAGGAAGTCAGATTGGAGTGGTGCACCTGAGGCTTCAAGAAAATCATCTTTTTTCACAAATCTAAGCACAACGTTTTCATTCACGCAGCAACCAAGTGTCAATGCTAATACTCAGAAGCAGGCTCCAACTACAATTGACTCTGGTGTATATCCTGACGGTCCACCTGTGCCTGTTCGTTCTGGAAAACTGCTTAAATATGTGGATACAAGTGAGGTTGTGAGGGGTCCACATGATGCTCCTGGCCATTGGTTGGTAACAGCTGCTAAGCTTGTGACTGAGGGTGGCAAGATTGGATTGCAGGTCAAGTTTGCATTGTTAGACTACTAGTTAATAACATGTTACTTCTCTTTTATGTATATGTAGAGTAGAGAAATATTGGTGGATTTCATTTGTTGCTTAATTTTTTTGTGAAATTACAAATCACATGTACATATGCATATGTTTTCTGATGACTTTGTACAGCACAGTATACACAAATTAATTGAGTTGTGGTTAACTTCAGCTAATAGAAAAGTTAAAACATTATCCTACACGGAACGTATTTCTGCAGATCAACCATTATTTTAACAAAATTGATCATCTGCCATTAGTTTAGAGTTTAGTGTTGGGCAAAGGTGACAAATAGATGAATTGAATAATTTTTTAGGTCAATGATAATGATTCGGATGAAAATAATCCACTATTCTATTTAGATTTACTAACAATTCAATCCATTTAATGCAAGAAAAAAAAAATCATCAAATCTATCCATTAATAATTTTTTTATGAATGGATATCAAATCCATCAATAAAAATAATATTTTAAAAATTAAATAATTTTTATTTTTAAAATATATTTTTTTCTCTCATTTTTTAGTCATTGTATCCTTATATAATTTTTTAAAATTTATAAAAAAATAATTATGACAAAATAATCTTTTAAAATCTTAATCCACTAAACATTACTTATATAATCTAATAAATTCTGAAAAAATAGTGAATAAATCATTAATCATTCATAAAATTAAATGATAGATTGAATTCAATCTATTATTTAATTTTATTGTAACAAATGAATTAAATAAATTTATTTATAAATGAATCAAATAAATAATGGATAAATGGACTCATTTGTTATTTTTATTCTTGAATTTTAATTTACATTTCAATAAACATCCTAATCTTCGATTCATCCCATCTTATGAAAACAAACGAAAAATATACTATAATTGATGTTATATAAATTATTCATATCATTATTCTTCAAGAAAGAAAAAAAAAAAACAGAAAGTGCACGAATTTACTAAAACTTGCATTTTATTTTTGGGTCAACTTGGAAATATTTGAATGGGACTAGAAAGAAACCAATAATTGACTTGACTCGTTTTGGGTTGCGCCATGCAATGTTTGTGAAACCAAAAATATCTTCTTAGATGACCAATGGTTTGTTAGTCAAACTCCATCTTTGCTTCTAGAAAATTCATGCATTTAGCAATTATTTTAAGGAAATAAAGTGGAAATAGATGATGTGGAGGAGGAAAGAATGAAACAATAATCATGTCAATCACAAGCTTACCTGAAATATTAATGGGTCCGTATTATTGAACCCAAAAGAAAAATAAAATAGGAAAAGTGAAAGAAAGGAATAAGATGACCAACCTTATGCTTGGTTGGATTATTCCATCATAGCAGCTTTTGATAAAAATGCATAGGGAACTGTGCTTTTGAACAATTGAAAAAAATGTTGCCAATGTTCCTAGTCCTACTGACATTCCTGCATGGCTTGTGTTCTGATTCTTGTAATCATAAATCTTGGTAGTAATTATGCAACTTTACTTGTAAAGAAAGTAAGGTTAAAGCATGTCCCTTGCTCTAGCCTTTAGTCAAATTAATTATTCCATGCCCGACAACAGATTATTATGGGCATGACGGATAAACAACATTTGAATTCCACATAATCCTCAACCTTCAGAATTCTATTAAGTTATTTATATTATTAGAAAAGGATAAATTGGGTCACTTAAGCACTTACGTAATTGTATTTCACTTACTCTGTGTGAAGAAATTATTATTTCTTAATTTAAGTTCATATTTAAGAAAAAACATTTTTTTTTCTGACTCAAGTTTACTAACTGTGTTCATAATTTCTCAAGAAATATAATATAATTAGTATCATTAATTTGACTTATGGTTGGTTAATAACGGTCAAACTATACGTTAGACTCTAATTGACATAAATTGAATGGACTCGTGTTGCATTCAACCATAACTAGGCGTCACTTATTGTTGTCAGAGTTTGATTTTCAGATTATACAGCAAGGTACCAAAATTGACTCGTATTACCATCCCAGAGAATAATGCTTTAAATCTTGAAACATTTAATGAAATGTTTGAGAAGTGATTATTTTGGACAATTTTTCTTCTTCTCTGAATCTTTTAAAGAAAGTAATAAAAAGTAAGCGATATTTTCTTTATTAAAATAAAACTAAATCAAACAAGAACTCAGTTGATTTGATATACCGAATCATACTTATTTTATGTTTTAGATTCTTTTAATTTTTTTTAATGTTTTACACATTAAAAATGATATGAATTACTTTTTTTTTATTTACATTTACTCTTATTTTAACAATTAATATTCTTAGTTCATAATTGCAATTATTCTTACTCAAGAATACCTTAGATTTAACGTGTTAGTATTTTTTTTTAAGTGTGCAAAAATTTTAAATAAAAAATTATGGTTTGGAGAGAATAATTTACATTGAAACTCTTGAAGTTTTGTGTGATATTTCGTGCACAATCTCTCTCTCTTTTCTTTCTATTTATACTAATCTTTTCAAAAAAAAAAATTAAAAATTATATTAACACCCTTTAGATATCTTGTTAATAGGCATCGCAACGGGCGGGTTTTACGTTTCCCGCCCTCGTCCCTGCAAAACTTAAATCGCCTTCGATACCTGTCGGAGATAAAATCTAGGTCCCTATCTCTGTCCTTCACGAGATTCGGATTTCCTCGTCCCGCCCCGCCCTTGCTCCTATTTTTTTTTCTTTTTTTCTTTTAAATAAATATGAACAATTTAAAAAAATAAAAGAAAAGTAAAATAATATACATTTTTACATATAAATATTTCTAATTTTGGTTTATATATATATATATAAATAATTTTTTAATTATATTATTAAGCGGGACGGAGGCGGGGGCGGG